ACCTCAGACAAAAATCACGGTTGCCACCCTTTACCCTTCGCCACCGCCACCGCCACCGTCGCCGCCACTACTACTACTCCCGATAATAAAAATTACAGTCTTTGATTATTTTTTTTTTACAACGGAGCCATCATTCAGACCGTCACTGACTTTTGACTGCTCATGAAGTCAATGATCTTAATTCCATTTTCTTATCTTCACCATTAAATCCTACCTACAACTATGTAATTTAGTCAATGTGAGTGATGGCGATGATGATGATGATGAGCGATGACGACGATGATGATGACGACGACGTAGTGGGGTCGGTGAAAGGCTGTTCAAATATCTGCAAAAGCTAAATTCTCCATCTCTCTCTCTCTCTCTCTCTACTTTCCACGCAACAAATTCAAAAATAAATATTTTCAAAAAAAAAAATTATAAAGTCATTTTTAGAGTGTAACATCATTAAATTTTATATGAATCACTGTGTCGATCATTTACTTCTCTCGTACCCCACCATTCACGGTTACCAACTTTCAAAAAAAAAAAAAAAAAATCGAAAACCATCGACGAAAATTTAAAAACCGGGTGGCCCGTTGATTTAATCAAAAGTTAGAAAAAAAATTAATTTAATTAGTTTTAATTGATATTTTTTTTAAACAATTCGCGTGAAAATAACTTTGTTTGTTTGTTTGTTTGTTGTGAAAATGAAAAAAAAAACGTTTTTAAAATTGTAACAAACAACAAATTTAATTTAATTTAATTTTTTTTATTATTTTTTAATCACTTTTCCGGTGGTAATTTTTTTTTTTTTTTTACTTAAACGAATTCTATATCATTCTCACATCTTTCTCTCCCTCTCTCTCTCTCTCTTTTTTTAAAATCTATATTATTATTATTATAATTTAAAAAAAAATTAAATTAAAAATTTCTTCTGCTATTCTTTTTGTTTTTTTTTCGATGGAAACGAGTTTCCGCAAACACACGCACACCGCAATCACGACGATAATTAAATTTGATACGTTCGCATTTTATTTAACGTCGTTCGAACAAACCCGTTCGATTTCCAAAAGCGAACCGTGACATTATTAATAATAATAATAATAATACCGAGAAGATACGAATTAATAAAAAAAATTATGTAATTTATTTATTTATTTTTTTTTTTCCCGAACGTTACACCATTCTTCTTAAAATAATTTACGTCACGGTAATAAAAAAAAAAAAAAAAACTAGTATTATCATTATTAATATAGTAATTAAAAGTATTATGTATTCTCTCTCCCGCTCCCTCTCCCCCTCTCCCCTTCCCCAACTATCTCTCTCTTTGTGTAAAATTATATTTTACCGGAAATTGCAAAAATTAAAATTATTATTTAGTTTGAAAATAATTGACCATTTCATTACGAAGCATTTTTTTTTCTTTTTTTTTTTTTTAAACATTTTGAAAATGCGCGTGAAAACGTTAAAATTTCAAGATGGCAGAGATTTAAAAAATAAAAAACCGGAATTAAAAATAAAATGTTGTTTGATTAATAATAATAATAATAATAACTCGGATATGAAGAAGAAAAAGAAGAAAAAAATAACAATGTAACCGTGACGCAAAAAAAAATAAGAAAAAAAAATTAAAATATTTTTTATATTTTTTTTCCAAATTTTTATTACTACTACTATCATCACTACTACTATTATTATTATTATTATTATTATTATTATTATTATCATCGATGACTTGATAAACAAAACAAAAACTTGTTAAATAAAAAAATTAGAGCAAAAATAATAACAATAAAAAAAAATTTATTTTTATAAACCTTTATAATAAATTTTTTGGCATCGGAATTTTTTTTTTTTTTTTTCGAAAAATCATGATTAAACGGGAGCAAAACACAATAAAAAAAAAAAGAGAATGATAGAAAAAGAAAACAAACAACAAGAGAAAGGCATTCATTCTTTTAGCAAAAGACCAAAAACAAACCGACACAAAATACCAACAACGGAAAAACAAAAAAAAAAAATTCTTTCTTCCATTCTTTCTTTCATTCTTTCGGTCACATTTTGCGGTCATTCAAAATGAAAAAAATTTTTTTTTTAACCCTTATAATAAATTGTCTCTTTCTCTCTCTCTTTTTGTCTCTCTCTCTCTTTCTCTGTCTCTCTCGTATTACCTTTAAGCGAAATAAGACTTCATTTAAAATAAAATTAAAAAAAAAAAAAAAATTAATGTTGTTTTCGAGTACTTTAAGGAATATAAAACACTAAAAAAAAAAAAAAAAAAAAAAAAGTAAAAAGCCTTCAAGGCAACACAACCATAAATAAAAATCTGGGTTAACCGCGACGATTCCGCGAATCTTCGCGATGAAAAAAAAAAAAAAAAAAAAAAATTTGTCACGGAATTTTCGAATTAATTTCATTCATTCGCTACCTTCGACCGATTAACCCACCGAATTTCATTTTGTTTTTTTTACAAATTTAAATTTCGATATTATTAATATAAATAATACGATCACGATAATAATAATAACAACAACAAGAGAGAGAGAGAGAGAGAGAGAGAGGTAGAGAGACAGAGAGACTGACTAACAAACACTTAAAATTTTTTAACGCCGAATAAAAGAAAACAAACAAACGAACAAAAAGAAAAAAAAAAAATTAGAGCGTTGATTAAATAATAATAACCCTCGTGTGTGTGTGAATGCGTGTGTGCGTGCGCGCCTTGTTTACCTTTTGTTGCACTCAATGAACACATAACTGGACAGTCACCTTTAACCCACTTTATTCATTGGTCACTTTTACAGTTGCTCTCATAAAATAAACATAAATTTTTTTTTTTTTTTAACGTTTCGAAAATTGATTTACTCGAGTATTAAATTAAATTAAATCTCGACTCTTTTAAATAACAAACAAACAAACGAATAAACGAAAATAAATTCATTTAATAAAAATGAGATTAACGACGACGACGACGACAACAACAATAATAATAATAATGAAACACGAGTCAATGAGAATTTTTTCAATACAACAAGAAGCTCCCGAACCTGATCGAATCGTGGAAAAAAAATGGCTTAATAATAATTTCATCGATGTAATTTACTTTTCTCCAAGTTCTCATAGAAAAAAAAAAAAAAAACAAAATGGATGAACACACTGAGAGAGAGAGAGAGAGAGAGAAAGAGAGAAAAGCAAAAACAAAACGTATAATAAATCTAAATGTTTTTAAATAAAAAATAAAAAAAACGCGAACTTAACTTTAAAAAAAAAAAAAAAATCAAAATAAAATTACAACCTATGCTGCTTCTATTACTACCGTTAATAATAATAATAATAAAACATGAATTTGCACAAATACATAAAAAAAACAAAAAAAAAGTAATCGAAATTTTAACATTAACTGTAGCAAATTTCAAAAAAAAAAAAAAAATGTAGTGATTGAAGAAATAAAATTCGATTCGTTTCTAGATATTTCGAAAAGAATAAAATTAAAAAAAAAAGTATATATACATGTTTCCTTTCCATTTCCGCAAGAGAATTATATTTCTCAGTAGTAGTTATTATTATTATTATTATTATTATTATTATTATTATTAATATAAACGTCACACAACTACTTCGATACGCTTCTTCTTATTTTTTTTCTTTTAATTTATCCCAAATCGGCTGCTCATTTCCGACGAATGTTTTCGAAAATGTCATAAAATAAATAAAATAAAATAAATTTTCCCTTTCTCCCCCCTCTATCTCTTTCTCTCTCTTTCTTCTTCGATCGATATTTGACTTTGCCATTTCATTAATCGGATTAAAAAAAAAAATTTATTAAAATCAAACCACTAAAACGGAGAGAAAACGGATTAAACCCATTAAAATTTCAAATTCGTCGTAAAAATTTAAAACATCGACGATAATAATAATAATAATAATAATAATAATAATAATAATAATAATAATATTAATGATATTAATAATATTAGTAAATTCAACATTGAAATAATTTTAATTTTAATTTTTTTTTTTAATGTAAAAAAATATAAAATTTTATTAAAAATAATCCGTTTTCACGCTTCACTTTTAATAATAATAATAATAATAATCAACGATGATAATAATAATAATAATGACGTTTGAAATAAAAATTATAATTATAATTATTATTATTATAAATCGAGTTTTCCGAGCAATTTTACGCGATTCCGTTTTTTTTATCGTATTTTGCGAAACAAACTTCATAACTTTTTTTTTCTTTCCCTTTCCCCTTTCCCTTCTTATATTTAAAAAACCTAATGCAATAATAATAATAATAATAATGATTACGCGATTTTAAATAAATCATCGCGGTTTGCCGTTTAAAATTTCGACTTAGCCTTTTTTATAAGACCTGGAAAATATCGCAGATATGACTAAATAATTGAAAATTAATTTTTTTCCTCTCTCTCTCTTTCTCTCTCTTTTGAAAAATTTTCACACAAACATTAAAATGTTTTCGACTGACATCCAAAGTCTCAAATGATAAAAAATTTTCCTAATGTCAAACGTTCGAAATTGAAAAAAAACAACAGAAAAAATTTGGGCAAACAAAACGAACCCCTTCCATCTTGAAAATCAATTCACTTCCGTTTAAAAAAAAAAATTATTAATACGTAAATTAATTTTAAAAAAAATACATAATTTACAACAATTTGCAGGAGAAAAATATTTTTAAAAATTGTTTAAAAACAAACAAACAAACAAACAACAAACGAGATAAACGTAAAATAAAAATGACATCACTCTTCTTTGTATCGTTTAAACAAATAAATATTTTCGATATAAAATTCAATAGAAAATTTTTTTTAAAATTTGTCTGTTTGTTTTATCCCCTCTCCCCCTCGCCATCGATTTAAAAATGATTGGTCGGATATTAATCAATTAGCGTCACGCTTAGCATACGGTTATCTAATTGACAAAATCAATCAATCAATCGATCGATCGATCGATAAAAAAAAATTAATTATTATTATTTTTTTTTCCCTTCAGAAATGTTGCCAAGTATAAAATTGTGTGCCATCATTCTCGTTTGCGTTTTCACATCGTGCCGCGTTTCCGCGGAAGAATGCGATCCGGAAATGATAGGCTTCGAATTGGTGACCGGCTACGTATTTTCCGCACCCTTGGACGTCATGGATTCCCTTCCGGGAACACTCATGTTAACGGACTGTTTGGAAAGCTGTCAAACCAACGATTCTTGTCAGGCTGTCAACTACGAGACCGGACTATGCGTTTTATTCAGTTCAAACGCCGACACTTATCCAGGTAAGCCAATAATAATAATAATAATAATAATAATATTTCCAATGTTTTAAAAAGGGCAATGCAATCATTTTAAAAATAGTTACGAACAAATTAGTGTGCTCACACGCTCACGCACGCACGCACGCACATAAAAACACCGTAAAAAAAAAAAAAAAATTATTTTATTTTTTCACGTAATTTGATTAGCAATAAACGTTTTTTTTCTTTTCTTTTCTTTTCTTTTTTCTTTTTGCATCGTAGGGAAAATTCTACGGGAGATTATCTACCTGACCTTTGACACTAATCGCGTTTTGTCAAAGAAAACGGCACTTATTCAATTTTTTTTTCTTTTTTTTATTGAGGTTAAAATTACCCACACTTCCAGACTCGTAAATACTTTCTATGTCGCACAAGCGAGCACTGACCAGACAAAACAAAATTTTTTTTTTTTTTTTTTTAAAAAACATTTTAATTAATCTCATTAACGTTTAAGATTTTTTTTTTTTTTTTTAACGGTGACGTGTAAGGTACGTAACAACAACAACAACAATCATGTTTTTTTTTTTTTTTAAATGGTTTTGCTTTGTTAAACATTCGGTTATAAGAATTTGTAATGCAAATTTTTTTTTTTTTTTTTGACTTCCTTTTATCGAATCATCATTAGCGCGACGAAACACGTTAACAAAAACAATTCAATCGATTTAGTTATTTTTTTAAAAAACTGTCCGTTCAAATTATCAATGATATTATCATTCGTATTTTTTTAAAACGTTTTAATTTGATTTTTCTTTTTTTTTTTTGTTTTGTTTTCGCAGGAGCACTCGCGAGATCCCAATTTCCCGTATTCACAATTTATGCTCAAAAAAGTTGCCTCGGAGTGAAACCGTGCGAACGTGCTTGGTGTTTCGACCGTGTTTTAGGTCATCAACTTTACGGTTATACGAAAAAGAAGCACTCTGTCGGATCGAGACAAGAATGTTTGGAATTGTGCTTGGGCGAACGTGAATTTGTTTGCAGGTAAGAAGTCATTCATTCGTAATTAATTAAATTTTTTAAACAAAAACGCGCACACACACACGCAAGAAAAAATAAAGTACTAAAATGATTTATATATCATTACCCACCACGCGTCAATGATGATGCCTGTATGACCATAAAACGACGAATCAAAAAAAAAGAGAGAGACTAAAATATACCTAAACCTTTTTTCTTTACTTTTCCATTTCCGTACATTTTTTTTTTTGGTCATTTCAATTTTGGGTTCATTTATATAAAATTTAGACACATTTTTACGGTAATTTATTTTACCGTATTAGGTATTTTTATCGCGTGCGACTCGTGATTCATTTATAAACACGTAGCAGTGGTATTCGAAAATACAATTTTTCTCGTACACACACCCTCCTCCCCCCAAATCAAATTATCAAAACACGTGATATTTTTATACATATACACACGCACTTATTATTTTCCATATTAAATTACATAAAACGAAACAAAAACAAAAAAATTAAAATATATGAATCCCCCGTTTAATTTTTCAAAAGATTTCGACAATCGAAAACAAACAACAATAATCGAACGGATTCAAGATACGATGGTGATCACAACATCTATTTCCGGTCTTTAAAAAAATTCATTCACAATCGATCAAATCGCAAAAAAAAAAAATTGTTTTCAATTCTTCCAGTTTTAAGAAAAATAATAATAATAAATAATAATTGAATTCATCGGGCATTTAAACGTGCAATAACAACCACAACAACAACATCAATAAAATTTAAATAAAAATATTTAAAAAAATAAAATAACCGGTCGTTGACCGATAAGGTCATAACCCTGCGATACACACACATACACACACGCACACACGCACACGCACACACACAATGAAAAGTAAAAGAAAAATTATTAATAATAATAATAATATGATGTCAAATAAATTATTAAAATTTATTTTAACATTTAAAATTTATCCGTTAATACGTTTTAAGCGACGCAAAATGTACATTTTCGAAAAAAAAAAAAAAAAATTTTTTTTTACCAATGATCAAAATGAATCAATCCGAGAGAAATAAGTAAAAAAAAAAAAAAAAAAATTACTCGAGTGCCCAAATACGAATTTTATTATATAAAAAATCTCTCTCTCACTCTCTCTCTTTCTCTCTCTCTCGTCTGTACGCGCCATTTTTATAATTTGTCACCAAAAAAAAAAAAAAATTATCCTCGAATCACGTTTCGAGCATTTAAAAATTGTATGGGAAAAAAATAAAAAAACTTAATGCATTATTTTCGTACTAAATCTCAACCAATTCATTATTAACCCCATTATTCGTTTTTAAAAACCTTTAAAGTAATTTTTTTGTTTGTTGTAGTTGTTGTTGGAAAATTCGCGCCCACGTCTAATATACAAACTTCCTCTTGTTTGTTGTTTGAAAATTATTTTCGCTACTAAATGCCGCGATTTGCACGTCAGAAATAATTTAAAACATGTTTTTTTTTACTTCGTATCGATCGATCGATTAATCGTTTACCCGAACATAAAACAAAAATTTTTTTTATCGATCTGATAAACAAAGTTTGTAAAATCATATCGATCGATCGATCGATCGATCGATCGTTCGATAAATCGTTCTCCCAAACTTTATTATTACTTTTAAAATTATTTTAAAATCCCTCGTATTAAACGGAAAAAAAAACGACAATCTAACGCCGCCATTTTTTTTTTTTTTTTAAAAACAAATCGCGTAAAAGGCGGGTATAATTACAAAGGTAAAAAAAAAAATTAAAATAATAATAATAATAATAATAATAATAAAGGTAATTTAATTCATTTCGGTTCGGTTTTACCTTTTAGACTTTTATTATTAAAAAGTTAAATTTTTTTTTTTTTTTTTTTTTTTTTGCCGGTACGCCATTTAAAAATTCCGAAAATTTTTTTTTTTCTTTTTTTTTTTTTTTTTCATTAATTTTATTACCACTTAAAAATTATAATAGTTAATTATTACCGTTCGGTTGTTGGATTATTCTAGAAAAAAATTATTTTTGTGTTTTATTTTTAGAGACCCCCTCGAATTACATTCGACTTTATAACGGTGTCCATGTCATGGTCGCGTGAGATAATGAGGCTTTTTAATTAATGAAAA